AATTTCAATATTCGATCTTTGGAGATGAAAAATCTGTGGAAATAATTTCATTTTTAGGAGAACTAATTCTGCCAATATAAGGATTACAATTATCTTTTCTTGGAAGACTTTCCTTATAAAGGAATATATTTGTCGGAGCTCATTTTGACTCGAAAGGTGGTATTGATTATTTTTGCGCTAAGCCGCAGAAATACGGAAAGCTGAAGAATTGTATGAATATTTCTAATGGCAATTCAATATAATCGCTGTAGAAAAATAACAGCAGCAACAGCTTGAATTATCATTGTGACGTTAAGATTGTTATCGAATGTCGTCGAACATCGTCCGAGTTATCTCGATAAATGCAGGCACGTATTGATTCTACTAATTGGCATGGATCATTAATCCTCGTTCCCTTTGCGCATCAGATATCACGCAAGAAGCGTACAATTGTTTTGCGCTCTTCTTTGATGCTATTTGCCGCAAATATTGCGTCTCCCCGCTGATGGAAGACGTAAGAAAAATAACAAGCACACGCGCGCTTGTAACGAAATCGACACGGTCCATCGACTTTTCTCTCTCTCTCTCTCTCTCTCTTTCTTTCTCTCTCTCTTTCTCAATCGATTTGTCATTTATCGCGACCTTGATTCGCCAATATTCATTATTCGTGCCGCAAGAGTCCGAGTCTCTTGGTAAAATCTCAGCAAGTTTCATTTCCAATGCTGCGAATACGTAAAATTTTACAGTGTGTAATTGTTGTCCGAATCTGTGTACCGAACAATCAGCCCTGAACTCGATTCGTGGCAATTGTCGCTTCGCTGTCACTCGATTCCCGTAGCGCCAATTTGGTTCTCCTTCGCCGCGGGATATCGTCACGGTGATTTTCTTGAAAGAGGAATCATTTTCTCTTTCCGTCGTGAGCGTCGAACTTGAAAAAGGGATAATCTGCTCGAGAGTTCGAAATGCCCTTTTCAGTTCGGTTATCTAAATAGGCGGATTAGTACATAAACAAATGTTGGCGAGTTTCCAATTAATTTTAATTAAACGTTCGCCGCGACTAAACATTTGGAGACCGCCGGGCGGCTCGGCTCTGCTTTTATCAATTCAATCGCGAGCGCGCGATTTTGTTCTCCTTCTCTCAAAGCAGACCGCGCGTCCCGATCGCATATAACTTGTACTCCGCATTTGTTAATATTATAATTATACGAGAAATTCAATTAAAGCGCGATTTTTTGCGCGCATTCATCGCATCGCGCGTTACTGCCGGTGGCTATGCGTGCGTAGAGTTTGAGATTCGCCTCTGATTTAACGCGCCGCCGCTGTTTCTTTTTCGGTGATCACGTCTAATCTGGTTCTTCGTGTGCGCGCACGCGTTTCTCCGTTTTTCTGTATCCCCAGACATCAAGCATGTAGTTAATTCTCGGCACAATGATCGTAAAACATATCCGAGGATGGAAAACAATGGTAATCGCGAAGTTGCCGGCGCGACAACACGGCAATTTCGATAAAGCAGAGCTCACGAGAGTCCCGCGTTTCAGAATTCGCGTTTGGTTTCTCTTTTTCTACCGAGATGTGACGAACGAACGTTTAAATATCTCTTTTCCGCACCGTGAATATAAACTAACCTAACTTTTTACGAAAGTAATTCGTAAAATTCGATTTATTTTAACAGTAATATAATTTATAGCCAGAAAATTAAGATCGAATTATTTCATAAATTTACATTACCGGACAATTAAAATAGAAAAAGTTGTTTAAAATTGATTACGGAATGTGGTGAAAAGATATACAATGTGCAAACGCTATAGAAGAAACTAATAAAATAACGATAAATTCTGTAAGAAAGTTCATTTCTTTTTAGCTCTTATTAAAGATATACTTTTCCGAAGTAACGCACCAAAATTTCCCCAATTTTGCAGTCAACATAATTGCCATTTTTCAACTTGGAATCAAAACTTAGGAATGCATGATTCCGCGTCCGCTGGTCGAAGAACAACTGCGAGCAGCGTGAATGATGTGAGCGTCGAATAAAACGACTAATGAATAAAGTTTCAAAGTAACAAACCGATTAAAAATTCGTCCAAATGATGCCCATATCCGGACTTCCCCCCCTGCGCGCCCATCCCTTCGCAACCGCTTTTTTCTCTCACATCGAAAAGCGCCGGATTGATCGCGAACCGTCACGTCGGGAGAGCGGCGGCTCGCCGATGACGAACCTGGGTACGTGGCTACCACCGAGCCTCCGCGGAGTTTCACCGCGGTGGGATCAGGTTTTTCTCGCCGTCGCGACGCGCCTTTCTGCCTGCGAACCGCGTTCGCGTTCCCGGCCGGCAAAAACGAGCCACCCCGGTGCCAAAAAAGTCGTTATGTAAATGCGCCGCGCGCGAGAGCCCGGCCCTAGACTCGAGCGCGCACCACCACCGGTCACAGGTATACAGGACGAACTGTGCAACTCGATCGCCCTGCGCGACGGACACCCGGTCCGAAAGACCAATGGTGATCATGAGAACTTGGGGAAAAAGCGGCCGAATAATCTCGGGACTCCTAATTCAATTTTGCGCGCGCGCGTAGTTTTCCCAGCGGGATCCGAATTCGCGCTGCGATCCAGCGGTTTTGCGCAATATTAATCGATATGCCGAATGTTTAATTGCAATTATTTTCAAGAAAAAAAAATAAAATTATACGATAAAAATTTGTATAACGATAGAAAAACTTGCACGCGCATCGTCTCTATTTAGTCTTTTTCTTTCCGGTTTCAGAAAATTGACGCCGGTTAATATTCATAAATATTGAAATAAGAATTAATAATAAATAGTTGAAACTTTTTCGCGTAACAATACTTTTATACGATCGACCGATTGGCTCGTAGCAATGTAATTGTCCCCGCATATATTTTTAAACTTATTCCGCGTTCAATTCTCGAATTAGGTCGAGTAAATAAATGCAGGATGAATTATTAATAAATACAGTTAATGCGGCGTGAAGTTGATGATGAGCGGACGATTGCGCGTGGTTTTATTTTTTAACAAAAGCTCGATCGAAGTGTTGTCGGCGCGGACAGGCTCGGCTAGATAATCAACAACGTATATATCACATACGCGCGGTATTAATAAAGTCGTGAAAACGAGAATAAGATGTCAGCGAGGGCGATATAAATAAATAGCGAGCGGCAATAATAATGGCACAGCGGGACGCGGAACGCGGAAATCGACGAATTAAACTTCCGAAAAAAGAGATTTCGACAAATCTAGCCAATTCTTCAAGTTAATTTCAAACGCGCGCGAACCAGTCGGACAGAGTGTGAAAAATGAATCGAAATTCGATACTCTACAATTATGTCAATTGTACCTTGCACGAGTACCCTTCGAAAGCGCATGTCCCGCTCGCAAAGTGAAGTTGGCAACGCTTTCTCTCCTCGCTCGCTTCTACATTGGCTATCCGCTGCGCTGACCCGCGGCTTCGAGAGACACAATGCTTCCACGTAGATCCTTTTTTCGTGGGTCGCGATTTGTGCTAGAAAAATCTCGCGGAACGAGTCGCCACCCCGCCGCCGCCGCCGCCGCCGCCGCCGCCGCCGCCGTCGTTGTGGGCTTATTCGCGGACCCGAGAGACCGCGCGCACGAGCGTGAGACCGGGACCCGGGCTTGTAATAAGACCCGCCGGCCAGTTTTTTTCAACTTTGCTCTCCCCCTCCCTCGGCCCCCCTCCACCGCCACCGGTCCCTCTTTCTTACCCTGCGCTCTTCGCTCTCCCTTTAACCCTCCTTCTCTCCAATGGCGGCACCGGTATTAATTTATACGCGGTACGTGTGTGCACGCCGCTTTTTCTCGCGATTCCTCGAAATTTGCAAGAAACTAGTCGGACACTCTGGCGTCTCCTCGCTCGGCCGAGCGAACTCGCGCGATCATTGCCGACACGGCGACGGCGGCGATGATGATGGCGAATGCCTAGAACAGCGAGGGTGAGTGTAATGAGGGTGGTTGCGATTACCGATGACGGAAACCTTGTACGTACAGGCATATTTTTGTTTTGTGCGAGTTGCGAGAGAAGTTATGAAAGAAAATGATAAATTCTTTGCGCGTGACGTAAATTGTTGAGACGTTTGTTCAATAAAATATCGACACTATGAAAGATTAAATGTATCAGATACATAGAAAATTTCGATTTTAATTAGTTAAACGATTATATCTGAATGCATTTAATACGCGTGCAATGGCATTTGAGAATATTTCACGATTTTTTGTTTTGTAAATGTGCCGTTGAATTAAAGTGATCTAAGTCGATTTTGAAAAATTGATTTTATCACTTATATCGATCTACAAAGTCGAAATATCTCGAAACAAAAAGTCATCAAACTTTTTCACTTAGTTTTATAATCGACGAATATGAAGCAATCAAACAATTATGCAAACAAGAAAATATACTTTTCAAATATTACAGAAAATTCGATCGTTGAATGTGTTAGACGTCTCATTAAACACAGAGTCGATTGATACATTAATGCCTTAGCTATTTTTAAACGTGTCATATCTGAACATTCGCGTGCCGTGATTGCGAATAAAAAAAATTCAGAATCGTTCGAAACTTGGTCGACTGATTGAGAAATTGATTTCAAAATCCAAAGTTAAATACAAAGTGAATATTCTCACCGGAAGTGCGAAGCATTAATGACCTCCGGAGGAATGTGTAAGTCATGCTCGTACGTTCGTGTCGTTTTTCAACGAGATCGACTCGCTGCCTCTCGCTCGCGGTACATCAACCGGTCTTTATATCCGTTGAACTGTCTAATTACCACGTAATTGATTGCCGACCGAGAAGGGGAAGACAGACGAAAGAATGAGGGGGAGTGGAATTGAGGGGGACAATCCACGGCGGCCGATTATTAGCGCTGTCGACGCAAAACGTTACCGATCGGTAGCGAAACCGACGACTACGGTCGCCGCCGCGTATTAATTGTGCCGGAAAGACACATCTCTCTCTCTTAATGAACCTCTTTAACGATCGCGCTGTGCGATTTCCAGTGGTGCAGACGTCCGTGCCGCAAAACGAGGCCGAGCTGCAGCTGTACAGAGTGATGCAGCGCGCCTCGCTGCTGGGATACTACGACACGCTCCTCGAGATGGGTAAGCCGGGCACGACTGAAGAGTGCTTGTTTATGGAATATTTTTAATTTATGCGAAATGCGCATATAATATTAGCTTTTAAAGTCTATTGGAGTGCGAGCGACAATATATACGTATAAACGCTACTGCCGCGCTCTTGATTTGCAATATTTCTTTTCTCTAAGATAAAATTGTACGAAGAGAGATTTGAAACTGTGCATTTAGAGACCTGAAGTTGCACATTTTGTAAAAAAATAAGTTCAGGCTGTGCAATTGTTCGTGCGAACAAATGAAACGTCTCGCAGAGCGTTGTAAAGTTTAGAATCGACGTGATCTCACTGATGATGTTTCAGGAGGCGATGACGTGCAACAGTTGTGCGACGCGGGTGAAGAGGAGTTTCTAGAAATCATGGCCCTGGTCGGCATGGCAAGTAAGCCGCTTCACGTCAGGAGGCTTCAGAAAGCTCTGCAAGAGTGGCTCACTAATCCTTGTAAAGTACCATTGCATAATTTTGATGTTACTACGCAAAATTCAAATGTCACTGCGACGTATACTTTGAAGAGAGTTTGCTGTAAGAATTGGATCAATTTGAAATTACGAACCTATCGTAAATAGCGAATCTCACTCGCTCGCTCTCTGACTGACGCGTGTTGAATTTTGCAGCTCTGTTCCAAACGCCGGTCGTGCCGACGAACGCCGCCACTGCTGCCAAAAGTCCCGCGGCCGCCTTCACGTGTGCGAGCCCGCGGCCGCAGATGCAGAGCCTGCCGACCGGCTTCGCCGCGACTGCTCAGACCTCCCTGACGACGGCGCCCTACGTGTCGACGACGCCTCACGTGCCGTTGACGCCGCTGCCCTGCCGCAGCGCCAGCCCGGTCGTGCCGGTCACCAGCGTCTCGGCGCCAGTGCCGTCCACGACCTTTCGCCAGAGTCCGAGCCCGAACACGTCTCTGCCTTACGCGAGCACTCACAGTCCCAATGTGTTGCAGGTGAATAACGTCAGGGCGGCGAAATCGAAGAGGAAAGAAATCGCTTTCGACTGCTGGCGTGTACGAATTTTGCGACGAGCTGACAAGCTCCGCGAGTTGAATTTATAACGCAATAGTATTAAAAAAATAATTAGAAAGGAAATTAATTTTTCAAAAAAATCACACCAGCGAAGTCTAAAGATTCATTTTACAGACAGATTTAATAATAATGTGTACTCATCATATTTACGCGACAATTTTTTATCGTTGCCGTTTTTTAATCTTTTTATTATTATTTTTTTTTATTCTTTTTCAATTTTACATGCTTTGTTGCGTGCGCTCATTTTTGTCGTGCATCATGTCAATAGGTGGGAACGTGCGAGTCTTCATGCGGCAGTGGCACAACACCAAGTCCAAGTGGCGGCGGTGGCGGCGGCGGCGGCGGCGGCGGCGGCGGTGCACCTGCGAGCCCGCCGCAGCCGACGCCGACCCTCTTGCAATCGCAGGTGCAGCGGCTCGCCGAGACTGCGGAGAGGCTTGTCGCTACCATAAGGCCCCTCGATCCCAAGCCCCACAACGTGAAGAAAAAACTCTGCAAGAACTTGGAGGTGAATCGTTAATTCCAATCGGCGGCGTGCTTTCAGACGTGCCCGAAATACGAAGTAGATCTCGAAGACCTGCGAGCAACCGCATTTGTTTTTAACGTCGCATATCTATGTGTTGTATCTAGAAAAAAAAAAAAACGATTGTATCGTGCACGACATTTTAATTATGTGCAATATGGAATTGATATTGCGTCACACTGGCCACCAATTAGTTTCTTTATGATCGCTTAATTAAATTGTTATATGCCTACTTTAATGACAAATTTCAAAATGATCGATGAAATATTTTAAAACAGCAGATTTTATTTCGAATGTATTACAGATAGTAATGACCATGTCCGACAGTGATCCGCGCAAAATGGACGAGATCCGGAAGTACGCGGCGATTTACGGCAGGTTCGATTGCAAAAGAAAGCCGGAGAAGCCACTTACGTTGCACGAGGTGTCCGTGAACGAAGCCGCGGCGCAAATTTGCAGATTCGTCCCTGCTCTTCTCACCAGGAGAGACGAGCTGTTCCCTTTAGCCCGTCGTGTTGTTCGAGATTCTGGCTATCATTATTCCAAGAGCCAATAGTAAGTAACGATATATAGAAGCGATATTTGTGCAACAGAACTTGCAAAAAAAAAGAGAGACGACTCGTGAAAACAAAATATCTCTAAATGTGGAACTTGTAAAATCAATCACGAATGAACGTATGCGCACTGTTCAGGTGAAAGATTTATAATATTAAGCGCCCATCTCACTACTGGTTTCGCTCATATCAAAAAATTGCAATACATAAGAAATGAATGAACCGCAATTATTACGGATGTTTTGTACGTACAATCGTAGCAAAAAGTTGCTGAAATTTGATCTTAACGAATATATGCTCTTCTCGTATAGTTTGAGTAATAAAGATTGCACAGAATCTTATAATTTATTCATAAGTAGAGTGCAGAAATGTACTTTTGAATTTCTGTTGTTTTTTCTGAGAATTTTCGAATTTTCTGAATTATGCTTGACGTGCGGTTAGTTGTGTTTATCCACAATGCCAAAAGTAGGCCCTTATCGATGGAAAGGAGAAATAGTGATCAAAAAAGTGTATAAAAAGAAACTTCTTCAACAAAAAAAAATTGTTTCTATCCATTTTAGCCACTTTAATCAACACGGTTGCACGTTTTCCATAAAGTCACGGGTGAATTCGTTGCAAATTAAAATCCTTATAACTTTTGATTGCTTCAGTGAATCGACTCCGGATTTTGTCATAAGTCTCCGAACATATAACAAGAACAATCTGTAAAGTTTTTGTTAAATTCCTAATATCTCAAAAATAGGCACTGAACGTCCTTAAGTTAACGTGACTCTGTATTCGTGTTGCAGTTTGTCGATGTCGAGGCCGCGTGAGAACGGGGAGGAGGCCGACGGGGAACGCGCGAAACGCTGGAAACTCGAGCTGGAGGGTGAGGGTGAGGACGTGACGCAGGTTAGATCACCCCGGCCACAGAAGTAGATCGCTCACTATGCACTGACCTGCTGCGCTCGCATGGTCACTAATCACTAACCGTGTCACGTAGAGATCGTCACGCATTAACCATCCGCACTTACTTGTATGCGCGATACAAAACGGACGCAAAAAAAGGTCAAGTATAGTTGCTGCGAATGCACGTGCACGGCTTGCGCTTTGACTTGAATCGGAACCGTCCTTAATTTTGTGAATTGCTTGTCGATTGCAAATTTATTCGCATTTCTGTAGAACGTGATTTGCCGAAAGCAGCTTACTTTTAACGCTTGTAGCACGCAAATTACTAGCGCTAGTAACTCAGTATTACGATAAGTAGCTGGTGTTTTTTTTTTACTAATTTCAGTTTATACGGTGATTTTGGAAATGCTATGGTTTTTAATACGTCTGAATTGATCGTGGTTTCCCTTGCTTGTACATTGCATGCTTTCTCATAAAATCATAATTTGCATGCCGATAAACGATGATTATTAGAATATAAAGTTTAAATGGACATGTCATATTTTTTTTATAGAAAAAAATCGTGTTTTTTGTTACTTGTTTATTCAGTAAATTCAACGAAAAAAACGGTAAATCATAATATGCATGCTGAGATAAACGACGATTATCAGAATACAAAGTTTAAATGAGCATGTAATATTTTTTTTATTTAAAAAAGAAACGGTGTTTTTTATCACTTGTTATTCAGTAGATTCAATGATAGAAACGATCAAAGGTTGATTCATTCGATACAATTTGTTTGAATTCTATGTTTTGCGTCTGATATCTCAAATCATGTTTATCTACTACGCTTACATATTTTTACAACTCCGTATTTGCTCGTTTTACGTTCTTATTACTTTCTTTCTCCATTTCGCGTGTCCAATTTGCGACTTCTACTGTCTGTAGCAGTTCACTGTTTCAGGAGGAGTTGGATCTCCGTTGTTCCGGGACGGATATTAATAATTCTATCACGAGAGGACACAGATCGTCGAGGTGATTAATTTATAGATGAAACATTAACATTTTTCCTAATATTAGGTGTTAAACTTAGTTTCCGTTTCTCACAAGTAGATTGTGCTAGCTACAGACGAAATAAGTTTTGATGTTTGAAGTTGCTTGTTTTATGAAGGATAAACATTGGTCAATACAATTTAGTGTGCAAAGATTGATTATTGTGTAAACAGAGAAATTTTTTAATCGATGAAAAATGAATTGTAATAAAGTATTTTTTCGACATGTACTTCTCCGCTATTTTGACATGAAGAAAACTGCAGCTGAAACGCATCGCTTACTGTCCGAGACTTATGGTGAAGAAACTCCATCAAAAACAACGTGTATAGAGTGGTTTCAACGTTTTCAAAGTGGTGATTCTAGCGTGGAAGACAAAAAACGTTCAGGACAGCCGAAAAAGTTTGAGGATGCCGAACTTCAAGCTTTACTAAATGAAAATCCATCTCAAACGCTTTTAGAATTATCGAAAGTGTTAGATGTTACTCAAATGGCTGTTTGCAAACGCTTACATGCCTTTGGAAAAATTCTGAGTGATCCTTTTGCACGACAATGCGCGACCGCATGTTACAAAAATCGTGAAAGACACACTTTTAGAGCTCAAATGGGAAATTCTTCCACACCCAGCGTATTCTCCAGACTTGGCTCCATCGGATTATCACCTTTTCCGATCGATGCAACACGCGCTCGGAGACACACACTTCTCCAGTTATGAAGAAGTTCAGAAATGGGTGGATGAATGGTTTGCTTCGAAAAATAGCGCATTTTATCGTCGCGGAATTAGTCTCCTGCCAGAAAGATGGGCAAAAGTCATAGAAAATAAGGGAAAATATTTTGATTAATGTATTTATTTTACTCTCTTTCTAATAAATGAATTTTGTAAGACAAAAAATGACAAAAACTAAGTTTAACACCTAATATATTAACAAAATTTAATAAGTAAGCACATTTCGTGCCTCTTTTTTAAGGCATTGTCGTCACGTATACAATAAGTGCATATTGATGTTCAGATATTTGCAATGTTTCAGTCCAGTTTGGAGGAAGAAGAGTAATAATGGGATATTCAGCGCCAGCGTAGAGGAAATCAGCGACTCGGATAGCCAGTTCTCGTTCTCCAACGAAGAATCTTCGTCCATGCACGTGAGTGTGATACTGAGAAAGCAATTTATCCATACCGCATTAATTCTTACACACTGAAGACAAGTAAATTATGTCACATTTGCATGTAGGATACGAACGAGGCGGAGGCTGAGAACACCGATAAGGAAGGTGATTTTAATCTAAAGGTGAGCGACGAGCAGAAAATCCGAAGTCCTCGTTATATTCTTATCTCGTCATTATTTCTCGGAAACATTAAAAGAACTATGTAACTGTGTTTATATACTTTGTATAAAAAAAAGAAAAAACCACTAAAGGTGCTAAGCAAGTTTTTTACCTGCTATGCTGCATCTCTCTTGTTTTGCTACTTCTGAATAATACATGATTTTTATCGAAGGAAAAAAAATCATTCGCTATATGCTTGTTTAGAATTATAGAGGAAAAAAAACACAACGACATTGGCGCGACATCTGCTACGGCTGTTAATAGCGAGTGAATTATGTGTAGGTGATAGCATCGCGCGGAGACAACATAATCGCCGTGGCGAATCCTGCGCTAATGGAATGCAGTCATCCCGTGAAAGAGGAGCCCGCGGACGAGAAACCCACACTGTGATATTATTAGTTAGCGTTTACTGCGTTTACTATTGATGTCACGACGACGTGAACGCCATTCTGCCGTTATCATCATCTGCGTGAATATTGTTACATGTTATTGAGCACGATAGTATTCGTGGCAGCGAATTCGCCGGAATAAATAAGACTTATTCGCAGGACTTTTCATCGGTTGGAATACCTTTTTTCCTCGTTGTTCATTTGGACGAGAGAAATGTGTGTTTTTGGAGGCTGCCTGTTATCTAGTTTTAGCGCAATGCAGATACACATGATATTGTATAGCGATCGCAAGTGTTTCTAGAAGACGATAAAAACGATAGAAAGGTGATAAAAGTAAGCTGTTTAAATCAAAAGACCGTTGACTGAAATATTGTAGTATTATAAAATGTATGTATGGTAAGCAAATGTAAATATAAAGGTCTTTTTACGCGCTATTGTGTACAGTTTTATTTGGAAGATTAAATCGTCTCACAAAGTGATTATTCAATTTATCTTGTATATTCATCTGTACATTTATGTATACATCTAGAGATTATTCGTCTTGCGTCTTGCCGGTCAACTTACCGTTATATACGTTTGTCGCTTACGGAGGAGCGCAGTATGTAATCAGCATTTTAAAATTCACATTAATTCTTTTGTTAAATAATAAATACGAGTTCATGATACAAGATTTATGTGTGTTGAATACTGCTTTTTATGTAACATTTATTTTTTGCACACCACAGAACCGCTCATCACATCTACGGTTTTTTTTTTGCAGCACCGCGCCATCTAGGATCGCATCATAAATGCACAGGTGCGATAAGGCGTGTATTGACTGTGAAAAATGAACGCTTCTATTCAAAGAATGCCCCAGTGCGTTCATACATTCACAGCCACAGATGTCTATACTAGTACTAGATCGCTAACTTTAGGCTTTGACGTGTGGAAAAACTGAGGCTGGCAGGATTTCCGGTTTCGGCCATGACACCCTACAACAAAATGGCCGTTCAACAACTGCTCAACAACTGCTCGGCATCTTTCAAGAATTTTTACAATGGCCGGTATTCATAGTCCGTTCTTATATTCAAGATCGTCTTAAGCACGAACTTATAATTCGCTTCTCTTCGTCAGACACAATCTAAAT